TTTGACAAATACGATATTTTTTATAATATAAATACACACGTACTGTGTAATATGTAGTTTTCACATCTATTTGTACATCCGTACAGAAGTAATATAAAAATATTATTCCTTGCAAATTGAGGAGCTCGATCATAAGAATTTAACTTAAAATTTAATTCTAAATATTTATTGCTTAGATTTAATCCATTCGAACCCGGTATAAATTATATATTATCCATCTTCTGTATCATTTTCAACAAGGCAAGAACTGCTAGAAACATTACATAAACTGTTTGTATTATCTTAGCAACGTTTCGTTTATATTATTCTTCATCTGAAATATGTATGTATGTATGTATGTATGTATGTATGTATGTATGTATGTATGTACACTTCGTGTCAAGGATATTTAGTTTGCCCTTGACATTTCAGAGAAATAATAGTTGTAAAACTTATTTACATACAAAGACATGATATGAAAAAATGTTAAACAATATATGTATAAATTACAATACGTGAAATTTGCAATGAAAAAAAGAAGCATCTCATTTTCGCAAAGAAAATATATAAACCATGAAACGGAACGCGAGGGCGCGAGTATCGTTGCGCGTCGCCCTTACGACTTCCGGTAAAACCACGTGACCCAGCTAACGGCCGCTGTTGCCCTGAAGCGTCATGGAAAATTCCCATTCCCGAGCGGCAGACCCCTCCTCCCTCGCTATGTACATACCCCCTGTCCACTCCCACCCCGTCGAATTCCCCACTATGGTGTTGTCAGGTACTTATGTACAACCCCCACTACCGTGCAAAATTCTCATTCCCCCACCACTCGTGCGGCGGTACCGGATGTACGGCAACGTCGCAACCGTTAAGTACATAAGGACGGGTAGAAGGGGGACGAAGGGGGAGTACGAGAAAGAACTGGCAACGTGTAGCACATTCAAATCTGGACGGAACCCGGTCGGCCTCTCGGTTCACCTCCGCACAAAACAGCAGAAAACGCGGGCCGCGAAAGAGAGGATCGACGTGTACATTAAGGGGAACGGTTAATCGGCGATCATCCCGTGTGTACCGTTCCAGGATCGTTTGTGTATTTTATCGTGTAGCAGCCTCACTGTCAAGTACAGGCACCAAATAGACTCGTAGCGAAGAGGCGCAACATTTCGCGGCGCCCTCGTGCGACGACCCTTTCGCTTTCCCCCCGTAAGTGTGAATTTAACGCGCGCGCGTACAACGCAGTTTAATGTAAATGTCACGGGAACGTAGGGGTAGCGTGGCCGTGTGGCGGAAGTGTTGTCTCGTGTTGTGGAAGTATGTGCATGGACATTCAGGTTAACGAGAAGAAGAAGAAGATGAGCGACAGGAGCATCGACGAAGACGTACAAATCGTGGAAGCCCGAGTTACTAGAGGTAAGTTTTTGAGGTTATGGGTGGCGGCAGCGGTCGCGGCGGCGGCGACAGCAGACTCGCGCCGTATCGTTATACACCATCCCCTTCCCTCTTCCCTCTCAGCCCCGTTCTACGACCGCCTCTTTCGCTCGCACTATCTCTCCTCCACTTTCGTTCATCAGTATTCCTCTCTCGTTAAAGACACTCATTCGATCCCTTTCCATCCTTCGCCGTGTTTCTCACGCGATTTCCTACAGCGTCCAATCACGTTACCCTTACCGTGCTGCATCAGTCCTTAGTGTTTTGTGCGTCGAAGGCACAATATCTACATCGTGCTTTCTGTTTTCTACGAATCGTGCCTCGTGCAGGCTCGGCGAAACGTGGTTCCCTGATACGACTACCTGTCAACATCTTGTCAGTTTACTAGTCTAACAGCGACACGTGCTGTTGTCTAAATACTTTTTTACTCATAAAATACGTTCACTATTAATTGTTTTGATTACACACTAATTATGCCCGTGGTTTATAGTGACTTATTTACTTTTTTATTTCCTAAAATAATTAATCTTTGATGAATGTTGTGATTGTAATACATATACCATTGATCTTAACCACAGGCTGAATCATATAAATCATGAGACATTTATTAATTTCTGTATGATTTACCCTCTGAGGCTTCGCCTGTATCTATGTTTCTTCATATCTACGTTTCCAGTTATTCACTTTAATTATATTATCGAAATTAATTTTTATATGGTTAGGATATTATAAGTGTTCACTTTATGTACCAGTAGCGTATTATTTTATTTAAATATAATCGGTGACACAAGTATTGGGATACTTATTGAAACAAGATAACTTGTTTAATATTGAATCAAGCAATTTATTTTTCTTGAATATGCTAGACTAGAAGGCTTAGTTTACCAGATAGTGTGTAGAAAACATTTTAAAAATTGTCATTGGTCGGAATCACGAAGAGAAGGTAGTAATGGTAATGATTTTTAACTTTCTTATCCATGTCTAATAAACATTTAAAACATACTTTTCTATATTTATGTGCGTTATACACAGGTATGTGCAAACTTTCATCTGAATCGATTAAAGCATAAAAAAGTTAGAGCTATTGAAATATGAATAGCTTTCAATTTAGTCCAATAATAGAGCGAAAGTTGTCCAAAGCTACGATTTCCTTCATTTTTAATCGGTTGCAGTCCATAACAGTACTATCCAAAACTGTGGACACGTGTGCGCATAACGCACTTAAATTTACAAAAAGTATGTTTTAAATTTTTAACACAGACCCAAAAATTGTAATCTTTAGTTTTATCTTGGCGGTTCTGATCCTAATAGCAATGAGAAAGAATTCTTACACATTATCTCAAACATTTTGACGTCTAAAAAAAATTGTTAACTAAAGTAAAATTAGTTATTAAGACGTTATCACTATTTTAAGAGGTGTCCAATATCCCAATATGTATTTTTATAACCGACTGTATATTAGCTGTATTTACATGTACTTGCAGACTGACGTTAGCGTACAGAGTTAATGAAAAAACGGAACATAATACTTCAGTTTGGTCGAACACTTCTGCACAATGATTTATTTAAAAATTAAGGTCTTGGTAAAGTTTTATATTGGTAAATATATACCGATAAATACATATTGATTACAATTTGATGTTTCCGCATAATAAACCTTTAATGATGAGCATTAATTGCAATACACTTGAAGTCATGATCAATGAAAGGATGTTAATCCACATTTCACTTTATCTGCGTGTGCTTGCAGAGGATGACGTCACAGTTTATTTAAAGCAAACGGTAAGATGATCCTGGCAATATCGTAGATATTTTTTTTTAGAAAGAAACTGTGTAATAAATATTTAAATTAGAGAAGCATACGGTATGCAGCCTCATAAAGTTAAAATGCAACCAGCTTAATAACTATCCACATACATTAAGTTTTTTATTAAAAGTTTTTCACATCAATGAAGAAGATAGTGAAATATGAAATATCTTTCCTGAATATCGAAGGTATTTATCTCACACGTGAAAATCAAATTCAGGTTTCTTGCCTATTTGTATGTATTGATCATTTCTTTTCTTTTTTCATATAATTTTTACACAAAGTTAGAATTTATTTGACTCTTATTGTTAGACAATCAGAATTTTCTAATGATAATAAGTACTACTGTCATCATATTGTATGTAAATATAACGCATTAGGGTTAATTACAGCTGTGTATCATTTTGTCATTTATACATAGACTTACTTGGTGAAAGTATGTGTTGGTAATTTTGCCATAAATGCAATAGAACAACCGCTTAAATTACGAGATATTTTGAGGACATACATAATACAATTATAATCCATTCGAAGCGAGAAAATTTGCAAAAATATATTCTATTGTGTCTCGTGAAATGATCGGTGATAAAACACGTATACTTTTATACACGCTAATGTCCATTTTAGTTGATTTACATCTATGTACGAGTCGTGTAACGTGGATGCCAGGCTCGCTCCACCGACAGCTCGCCTGTTTGCTCCACCGCGCCGCGCCGCGCCGGTACATATATGCAAAGGCAACTATATGTATTCCCTATATATGAGAGCGAGAGTCTGGGAGGGAAACATGTGCAGGCGTGGTATATAATATACCCGGCTCGTATGTACTACATAAGAGCCAAGGAATGATGTAACAAAGAGGTAGTTTCACGAAGTTTGCCGAGGATACCCGAGTCCGGCAGCTTCGGTCATTTGTATGCGTGCCCGTATATTACGGGACGCACACCAGGAAACTCGTCAGCTGCTACGAGCACACGACGCCATATGCAATTCTACTGAGTTGCGCAAAAAAATTGCATCTACGGAAATGATAGAGCAGATTTAGTTCATCTTTTTCAATGCGATTGATTTATTCATGTATATATGTATTTCTGTAAAATATTCATCATTCATCTGCTATGAAACATTTATAACGTGCAAACGACCTTCGTACCGTCTGCCTTATCGCGATTAAAGGAAACACATTTCATATAAACGTATCCGGGTATACAATATTTCATTATGTTACGTAATATGGATGTGCTCTGGTGATTTCGTCATTGAATAAAACGTAATAAGAAATACGTTGCTAATACGAAGAAAAAAGATATTGTTAATGGAGGATGGCGAATGCTAGAGGGATAGAAAGAGACAATGCAGTTATGGCAAAGAGAATGGATAGATTGGTAGAGAGCACATCCGGTTCAACGCTATGTTGTTCTTTAGTAATCTCTTCCCCCTCCATTCCCTACTGTTTCCCCACCCCGCGGCGGTGCCATCGCTTGGCATAGCAACAGCAGCAATAGAGGGCTACTATAAATAGATCACTACGGTCTTCCAGTGTTGCCAAAGCGACTGGCCCAATGTACGCTGCAGAAGAAATCGGACCAGTCAAGGCCAAGTCGGCCCTCTTGTACTGACAACGTCGCGCAATTGGAAGGAATAGCATTGATTATACATTTTAAATACAAAACGCTTTAAATGGAAAAGAGAATGAAAAACTAACTTCATATTTCTACTATTTAAATTAACGTATATTACTTAAAAGGCAAAAATATTTTTTACGCATAGAGAAAGTTTATCTATTTATTTGAAACTGTACGTTTGTCATATTTATATAATAACAATAAGTATTCATTTATACTGTTCCTATTGTTTTCCCGTTTTTCTTTTTTAAAGTATCGATTTAATAATACTGCTTTTTTCTACGTCGTTCAGTCGTATGTGCGACTGAAAAATGGAAAAAAGAGACGAAGTGGGCGTGCCCGCATAGTTGAGAGAGCGGCAACATCGCGGTCATAAATCATGATTAAAATAATAAGTATAATACATATGTAGTACATAGGCGGTTGTCCGGTATATGTATATAGCTGCGCAGAGGCAGAGACAGCGACGCACGTCCGCCTGTGTTTTGCGCAGCTTCGATTCCCCCACTACTGTTATTTACTTCCCTCCCACTACCGTACGAAATCGCACGGGTAAGTTCCAGGAGTACTCGGTGGGGATGAAACGCGAGCGTTAGAGGAGGGAAGGGCACCTGAAACCACGACTATATACCCCCGCGTACGTTTACCAATCTTGGCACTTTGCCTGAAAGAGCATATCGACCGTGCAACGTTGTCACATCGTCTGCGCGATCTTACGCGCTGGCCCTGGCCACTCTTTGAGCGGTATGTACCTAGCTGCTGCAGCCGATCCATAGTACACGATGCGAAATCCGACTGAGGGATACAGTTCACCTATTTATACATGATTCAGTGAAGAATTCAGGAGAAAAATCTGATTATTCTTCGACCAAAGTGAAATAAAAAAACCTATTATTAAAACAGCAGTAAAAATAAAGATACGAGATTTTTTCGTGCAGTTGTATAATTGTTATGGGATGATCTCAATGATTTATTATTGATATCGTATATGCTGCAGAAAAGAAATGTGAAATTGGGTTCATTAGATGAGACACATACTTATAAGCGAAATTTAATTTCTCGTATCCATTGTACATATATTTATATGCATACGTGAGTTACACATTAGAACTTATATGTATGATTATATTTCTATTTTTGCCCTTAAAAATATATTAAGATTGAAAAGCTCGATTACATAACAACGCGAATACTGTTATATATTTGTAAATATACATTTTAAACCACTTCTTTGAACATGTTCTATTAATGTGGAAATCTTATTTAAAGACCTCGTAAGTTTCGCTCAAATATTATCGAGAATATATTTATACCTTCAACTTGATTTTATAAGTACATACTTAATGTAATTAATATTATTAAAAATCGATTTTTGATAAAGCTGTATGTTTATGTATGAAACAAAAACATAATACGGAGTGACAATCGTATAACATGTGACAGGCATGCGTATTAACGTAGCGTATAAAGATTTTTTCGGTATTCACATGTTTATTCATGACAAAAGTAATAAACTAAAATGATATGACGTGTAAGTACATTAGCATATTTTTTAATAACTTCGAAAAATTATGTTGCAATATAATTATTTCCGTTTCGTAAATTTTTAGATCCGATGTCATTTCTGAAATCTAATTTATGTTGGAAGCACAAAATTAAGTACGTCTTTCACTTGTCACTGTTCGGCTTCGACTAAAGACCACTACCGTCACGCAACGCTCTTATATAGGTACCGCTCTGTATTGGATATCAAAGTATGTTGACATACTGAAATTAGTATATTCCTATGCATATCATAAAATACCTGCTTACAGTAAAATAATTAATGAATATTCTTCGGGATTATAAGAATAACTTAAATAGTTAGAGAAAATTCTTGCCTAATATTTTCGATAACAATTAATTTCAATGTTCGTAATTTGTAATTTTTACGTTTATTCAAATTATCAGCGCATGCGTAAAATTTATTTTATATGCAAACGAATTCCATTTAATTAATAATGTTAAGTCTGACGGATAGATGGCAGTAGTTATCAGGAAGAGAGTTGATCCCTCTTTACCCAAAACAGCCCTTCGTGCCTAATTCTAATTCAAATTCACAATTAGAACAGCCAAAAACGATTCGACCTTCAACAAATAATACTATAATAGATTGTTAGTATGCTAAATTGAAGTCTTCTTTTAAACGCACTGATGTTTCTTATTTGTGAGCAGTATTTTATAGAAATAAGAAAAATCAGTCATTATTCTATAAATTGCAATGTTTTATAATTCACGATATAACATAGTCTATCAGTTATTTAGAAAACTGCAGTTTAATATTGGCAAGGTGAAAATCGAATGATCAGTCGAATGACTTGAATGTAATGGTGAATAGTAAATAGATTCCTAAAAATGGAAGGTTAAACTTGATTATGTGGCGATGTATCGTGGAGGACGATACTGACACATAAGTGAAGTACCTAGCGGTACAGTCCGTGTGGAAAACTAAACGCGTACAGTTGTAGTCTGTATGATTCGTGGTCGGCTAGACCGCGGAATGCCTAGTGTCCCGTGCAGCTGCAGCCAGACAGCTCGATGATACGGCATGGCCTACTCAGCGGCCTGAAATCGAAGATTTACAGAGGCCAAATCCGCGTGTAATGGCGCTATTCTCGACTGAGAACACCTTAATCCACGGCAGCGCATCGCCGGGGTCCAGAGGTACGCCCGTTCAAAAAACATGTACGTGGTCAGTGTCAACGACGTCATCTACGTACGCTTATGTACGGTATATCTACCCTTCGACGTATCTCTCGAGAATCGAGACTGAACGTGGTGAACTCTTTTCCCGCCATCTGCTATAATAGTACTAACCAGGCAAAGTGAAATGTCGAGGGAAAGCGTGAAAACAGCGAGTCGAAGAGAATCGAGACAAGGATAACTTTTCTGTCTTGAGCACCGTTCTTCCCGTCGTGTAACATGGTCGTATGTCGTCTCATCCACAGTGCACGGTGCACATCGATAGACGCACTGCATATAACCTCTTCGGTTGACTCGCGTTCTCCTTCATTCATCGATATGTGATTTCGACTAAGTTATAAAATACCGTTGACCGTCGAAAATGAGGAACGACATCACAGACATGCACACGGCGAACGCTGATAGCAGTACGGATGCCATATGGCTCGAGAAAAGGAGTCCGTCGCGGACGGCGCCCGATCAAGTATTATTCAGTATGTTTCAACTGCATCTTTCTATTACGAATGAAAGATGTTGCTTTTTGGCGAAACTCAGTGTATCGAGCTTCGTCTAAACAGTTTTTATTTTCTACACGTGCGCGTGTTCTTGATTAGTCTCTTGTTTTCATTAGCAATCGATATTGATTAAAAAGACCGCGGGAATATTTTTCTTTTACATTGAGAAAACTTATTTCGTTAGAAATGAAATGCTCCGTAATCCATTTTAAGGGTCTCCACGAAGTAAATGGAATATTTACCTTATCGACGATTAAAATGTGATTAATTTAAATCGATTCACCAATTAATATTAAATAAGTGTCACGTGTTTTTGACATTTTATGAATTTATGAGTTAAAACTTATATTACCCTTAAAATCAATCACGTTTTCTGTGATTTTCTCAATAATTTCTGTTCAGAAATCTGATTAGGTTTGTCTGAAAATTATATAAATTATTAATAAGAATCGTGTTGTGTGTGATTATTTTTCCTTCACTAATTAATTTAGTTGAAATATTTGATTGCAAATAAAAAACTGGCAAGAAAATATATTAACTGTGATCGTGTGAGATACTCCAGAAATAATACGAGTTAAACAATTCAGAATAAAAGAAACTAATAGTTGTGATATTAGTGGATTGTTGTGCCGAATATTGTCACCTATATACCACTCGTGCGCATTGATTTGAAACACGTGCTGCTAGTACAACGTAAATTGACACTAACCAAATTTCACGGAACGTAACAAAATATTCCGTTGTATCCACAGAAATGGACTGTACCATGATTCACAATCGAAGTAATTAGTAATCATAATGAAACGTGATTCTTATGGAACATTTGTGGTGATAATGATAAGAAATAATTGCTCGAAATCATCACCGTCTGTCATGTTTATGTACGATGTAATTGTATACTACAATATTAACACGCGATATCCATCCTCCCGCGTTTTCGTCCGTTGATTATTGATTCTAAGTTTTACTGATGTAATAGCTTTAAACAGAAATCGTTTTATTTTTATTTCATATTACAGAATATCTTGTTTATAAATTGTCGAAAAATGAATTGGAATTAGCAACAGTAGCTTTTCTGTACAAGTGATACGTATTTGATTTACATAAATATATGTGTACTATGTAGCACTATGTTCGTTTATAGAACGAACTTGTTAATTGTAATGTACAATATATTAATGATATCTGTTGTTTTTAACGTAGAATTTATAAGTGATTAATATACAAAGATAATTTCATACCGAGTAACATGTAACGAGGGAATTATAAATCAGATCCTTTAAAAATTTCTTGCTTAATTATAGAAGAAGAATTCATATAAAAGATTATTTTTTCATTATTGTTAAGTACAGATTTATGTTATACATAAAATGAACGTTTATTTCGCAGATAATTGCGATAAGAAATAATAGGAATATTCGTTGTATTTTGCAGGTCTTGAAAAAGTCGTTGTCAAAGAGGAACTTCCCGATGAAGCGGAAATCCGAGAATTGGCTGCCAAAATGGTGGAAGCAAACAAGGCGAAAATGGTTTATGGTACACAGGGAGTCCAGCCACAGCAAAGACCTCCGCAATGTCTCGTCTCGCAACCTAGTATTATAGGATATCTAAATAAACGACCAGCAGATTCGTCGACTACCGTAGCAGCGAAATCACCACCAGCGGAAGGGAAACTACCGCCGGACGACGAGAGTCAAAGGGGCAGATTCGGATGGACAAGTTTCGACGATTGTTACATACCATATATATTCCGCTCCGGTGAGAAGTACTGCGCTGTACGGATCTTAGAATCTAAGTTGTTACACAAGTACCTGAGTTACCTGCACTCGGACATCTACAGTTGTACGTGTATAAGGAGTTATTATATTACGGAAGCGGAGAGTAAATTGTTCACCGAAATAAACGCGAAACACTGCGAGAATCAATTCGGAAGAGAGCAGTTTACATGTAAAGACTTAGTGGTCCGATTGTCGGACGCGAAAGAGTTTTATACGTTTCTTGATGTGTGTTATACGAAGTTGACAGCAGGCACGAATCCCAACGTCTCGAACGGCGGGAAACCCGAGAAATGTGGGTTCATACGAATAAATAAGGAATCTGTAGTTCCTTATACGGTGAAGGACGGTCTTCAATACGTTCCCCTCTTTTATTTCGAGGGCGAGACCGAGAATCTTAAGTTGAAAGCCGAGAAGTTAGAAGGTTGGGACTTGTCGTATTTGAAATTTTGTTGCAAAGTACAGGGTATCCGTAACGAACTGTTCGCGAGTGAAACGTGCTCGGTGATTAGTTTGAACGACATTAAAAGTTACTTCCCTCCGGGAACTGGATTCGAGGATTACTGGCCGACCAAAGTGATGGACTCTCAGTTGTTAGTGAATAGTAAAGGTGGTGGTAGCGGTGGCGGTTGGACGAAACAGCCTCCTACACCGCCAGCGAGCAAACCGCAAAATAACGTACAAAATAATGTGAATAAACCGGTAGTTAATGCACGTGCTACCCCTCTTCATAATATACTACCACGTGGATCTGTCGCGAACACGCCGCAAATACAGCAACGCGTTAGTCAACCTAGGCCTGTCGCAACGACCCACCCTGCGCATTCCTCACCGACGGCACTTTCTTCGGGCAGATCGAACATCGTCACACAACCGATGTTGAACACGGTGCAAAATGTTAACGGAGGATGGGCAGGTCTCGTCGGTGGGCAACCCACCTTCCAGACGGCACTTGTCTCTCAACCTAATTCCATCATACGAACGTCTTCATCATTGAACATGCACAGTGTATGTTAATTTCAAGAATATTTTTGTTTAATCTTCATAACATTCTTCTCATAAGAAAAGAACCAAGAAACGAAATTGTATTTACATATATATATCACATTCGTTTATTCTAGCCAATATCTACGCAACCAAAAACGTATTCTCAACAATCCAGGAGTAGAGGGGGTGGTAACAATGCAACAGCTCAGTATCCTGGAGTATATCCAGTTACCACTATGCAAAGTATTACTCAACCACCCCCTCTGATCAGAGCAACAGTCCATTCCAGTCAACCTAATCTTGGGTTAGTAACAACAACTTTTTTTTATATCAATAACTTCTAATACATATCTATATATATGTATATGTTTTCATTTTTTTAATAAAATGAAGCTTCAGAATATTCAGGAAAATTTTATTATTTTTTAAATTAAGTGTTTCTTTTTCTTACACCAGCATTGTTAATACTTCGTGCTTGCTTTCAATTTTTAGTAATTGAGCACAATAAATTATATATTAGATGTGAGTCCAACGATAAAAGTCACATTACGAAAGATCCTTATTAAATATACACGTTTATTAAGTACTGCA